ATTGATTGGTTGTTAAGACTACCGTGTGACCCTGTAGAAAGCTGTTGCGTTGATGGGTTGTTAACACTACCGTGTGGCCTTGTATGAAATTGTTGTAGACATCGTTGCATTGGTTGGTTGTTACGAGTACCGTGTGGCCCTGTGTGACATTGTTGCATTGGGTGGTTGTGAATACTACCGTGTGGCCCTGTATCAAATTGTTGCATTGGTTGGGTGTTAAGAGTACCGTGTGGCCTTGTACGACATTGTTGCATTGGTTGTTTGTGAAGATGACCCTGTGGAAAGTTGTTGCGTTGATGGGTTGGTAAGACTATTGTTGCATTGGTTGGTTGTGAAGATTACCTTTTGACCCGGTATGAAATTGTTGCATTGGTTGGGTGTTAAGAGTACCGTGTGGCCCGGTGTGACGTTGTTGCATTGGTTGGTGACCCTGTATAAAGTTGTTGCGTTCAATGGTTGTTAATACTACCGTGTGGCCTTGTATGAAATTGTTGTAGACATTGTTGCATTGGTTGTTTGTTAAGAGTACCGTGTGACCCTGCATGACATTGTTGCATTGGTTGTTTGTAAAGTGTTATGACTACCGTGTGGCCCTGTATCAAATTGTTGCATTGGTTGGGTGTTAAGAGTACCGTGTGGCCTTGTATGACATTGTTGCATTTGTTGGTTGTTAAGAGTACCTTGTGGCCCTGGATGACATTGTTGCGTTGGTTGGTTGTTAAGAGTACCGTGTGGCCCGGTGTCAAGTTGTTGCATTGATTGGTTGTTTAGACTACCGTATGGCCCGGTATAAAATTGTTGTATTGATGAGTTGTTAAGACTACCGTGTGACCCTGTAGAAAGCTGTTGCGTTGATGGGTTGTTAAAACATGGGTTTTTAAGACTAAAGTATGGCCCGGTATAAAAGTGTTTTGTTGATGGGTCGTTAACACTACCGTGTTGGCCGGTATGCACGTGTTGCATTGATTGGTTGTTTAGACTGAGTTGTTAAGAATACCGTGTGGCCCTGTATAAAATTGTTGTATTGATGAGTTGTTAAGACTACCGTGTGCCCCTGTAGAAAGCTGTTGCGTTGATGGGTTGTTAAAACATGGGTTTTTAAGACTAAAGTATGGCCCGGTATAAAAGTGTTTTGTTGATGGGTCGTTAACACTACCGTGTGGGCCGGTATGAAAGGGTTGCATTGATTGGTTGTTTAGACTGAGTTGTTAAGAATACCGTGTGGCCCGGTATACAATTGTTTTGTTGATGGGTCGTTAACCCCGGAATGAAATTGTTGCGTTGATGGGTTGTTAAAACTTCCTTGTGGCCCTGTATAAAATTGTTGCATTGATTGGTTAATAAGACTACCGTGTGGCCCAGTATGACATTGTTGCATTTGTTGGTTGTTAAGAGTACCGTGTGGCCCGGTGTCAAGTTGTTGCATTGATTGGTTGTTTAGACTGAGTTGTTAAGAATACCGTGTGGCCCTTTATGAAATTGTTGCATTGGTTGTTTGTTAATACTACCGTGTGGCGATGTATGAAATTGTTGCATTGGTTGGGTGTTAAGAGTACCGTGTGGCCCGGTGTGACATTGTTGCATTGGGTGGTTGTGAATACTACCGTGTGGCCCTGTATGACATTGTTGCATTGGTTTGTTGTTAAGACTACCGTTTGGCCCTGTATGACATTGTAGCATTGGTTGGTTGTTAAGAATACCGTGTGGCCCTGTATGAAATTGTTGCATTGGTTGTTTGTAAAGAGTACCGTGTGGCCCTGTATGACATTGTTGCATTGGTTGGTTGTTAATACTACCGTGTGACCCTGTATGACATTGTTGCATTGGTTGGTTGTGAAGACTACCGTGTGACCCGGTATGAAATTGTTGCGTTGATGGGTTGGTAAGACTACCGTTTGGCCCTGTATGAAATTGTTGGGCTGTTAACGAACGATAATTTAACATTTGAGGATCCGGAGGCAGATCACGAGGAAATCATTGTTAATTTATCGCCATTGTTATTATTCAGAGCAAGACGTATGAAGCCGTAAACTGAATTGTAGTGCACCGACAAAATCTAAACTGTATCACATATCAAAAAATCGACCCAAACAAGGTACCCTGTCTGAGACACAGGGACCCGCGAAATTGTTATGATTCGCATGTTTGAATCTAAACTGATCTGTTCACAGTATTAATAATAGACGCTATATACATGCATACCGTCAATAAGGGTACCGAGAGTTGATTTAAACTCTTAAAACATTTTTTAATATTACTTTGAACATTGCAGTTTAGGTCCAGACATACCGACTGTAAAACATTACATTTGTAGCAGGTCCCTGTGTTCGAAAACATTTACATAGTTAGCATACTGCATTCGGGGGTAACGTTAATATATTCACTTCTTCGTAGCTCTCATTTCCGTACCTTAGTTTGTATAATGCTCAATCTCAATATATGTAACTTTATATCTGAACTTCAATAAAAAAATAAATGAATATTTCGTAAAAAGTTCGTCACGTTTAAACAGTAGGCTACATAAATCACCTCAATATAATGCCTATTGTGTCATATGCCATTCCCGCTGATATTTTGCTAAGGTCCCACTATAATGTGCTATAAAAGTAATTTTAAGTAGATAACTTTTTCTCGTTATAACGATATTTTGGTCGTTTTAGCGAAATACCATCTCATTACATATATAACGTTAAATTAGTCGCTACAACGAAAACCTATCTCGTTGTAACTAGAATTTAGTCATTATAACGTTATAATGAAAAAAGTGTCGTTATAGCGAAACACCATCTCATTATTCATATAACGTTCAATCGGTCGCTTTAACGAAAATCTATCTCATAGTTACGAGATTTAAGTTGTTATAACGAACCACTATCTCGTTGTAACGAGATCTAGACTTTAGTCGCTATAGCGAAACAACATATTGTTGCACCGATAATTTAGTTTTTATAAACAAGGACTATCTCGCTATAACGAAAAAAGTATGTTTGTATGCCCTCAATCAGCCTTTGTATTAACGTAATGTCGTTATACTGAAAAAGTAAAACAGAAATGAGAAAAGGGAAAACAGCTAAGCTAACAATACGTTTTCTGTACAACAGGTGTGTACCCGAACACAACACCTGGATTATTCTACCTCATCTTTGTGTCGTGACCGGACGCGATCCGTAACATATACGAACCTCGCCACCCATCACCCCTGGCGAGGTATATTAAGCTACCTCTACCTTAAGTTTCTCATAAAAACACCATATACAAGTTTCTCGTTTTCCTTTTCAGCACGCATGTTTTCCCGAGTTTAACGAAACGGCGCGAAAAAATTTGCGATTGTGAAAAAAATGTTTTCTTTCTTTTATTAAGCCATGCATGAAAAAACATCATTTAAAAATCTGGATTATAGAACCATCAATCGTAATTTAAATTTATATAAAATTGTTTATTTTACAACAATTATGAAAAAGTCTTATCTATTTACGAGCTTATCATATCTCCCTTGTGCTCCGAATACTGTAATGAAACGTACATTAATTCAGGTATAAGTTTAGGCGACCGGAAAACACTCTGTGCAGATAAACGAGCTACATGTATTTTCCGGATGAACGAAGGTCTATGATTATATGACATGATTTCGCCTTCAAAATGGAAGATGAAACCTCAACTTAGATTAAGATGTGGATTTATTTTTCACGTGTAAAACAAAAAGCTTCAAGATCTCAAAATAATCCCGGGGTGGGTGTTGAGGTGGCCCTGGGGGTTGGGGTAGGGGGAAATATGTCCAGATGATAAACTTTGCATGCACATTGTTTACAATAATTTACACCCCATGCCTGTTTGCAAGGTGACGCTGATTGTGTTGACATCATACAGACGACCAATCTCGATACTTCAGGGGTTACGCTCATTTTCGCTCTCGTGGAATATGTCATAGCAAAATTGAAGGCACGCGGCTAGCTGTTTGATTGGTCTCAAGTAAACAAACCTGACCAATCGCTAGGCTAATATACATGTTCTTTGAAGATTACAGAGAAGCCACTCCGGACATCAAAGCCATTCTGTTTTGCCGTCATGTGACCGCGAGATTCTTTTGATTTACATCCTAGGAACAAGACGGCACACACTTAAGCCTTCAATTATGAAATAATTTGGCGTTAAATCGTTATTTCATTATTTCGCTTGGCGTTATTTCGCGAGCGACAAAGCGAACAGACGAAATGTCATATATCAGCCACCATATTCAATTCTGCTACGACACCCTCCAGGGGTTCAAAGAGCAAAAGTAAGCGTAACCGCTGGAGTATCGAGGATGATAGAATTTTACCTTTTCGTTCGTTTGCTGTCATTTCATTTAACATGTTTTATCTACTTTTATTGGCCCTAATGATCATTTTCGGTTGATGGGCCGTTAAGAATCCAACAATACAAAATTGCATTCTCTTATGTAACGGAACATAAGGTACTAGTATACTGTACGTTTCAAGTCGTCAAGAGTGCGCCACTTCTAGATCTGTTGAGCAGAGAAATGTGTACGAAATGTGCATAACTGAGCTATTTTCTGAATGGAAACCGTGACATCAAATTTTGATTGTGAAGTTTGTAGATCCGTATTCGTCTGTCTTGGCCGAAATAAAAATCATAGACGATTAAAATATATGTATACTTTACATTACTTTATTTTATCAATAATAATTTTCGGCGATGTAAATTGCTCATGTTGGATAATGGCTGACAACTTGACAATTTCTTCGGAAAAAATTATTATCAAATAAAAAAAACATCAACTGCGTATACACGGCCAAACGTATGTCTAATGCTGCTCAAGGCAGAAGGCAATCATGAATCCATGGACAGGAAATCTTTCTAAAAGTTCTCAGATCGTTTTGCCCTTCCTCGCTTTGCCTTATTTACCAAAAGTTTCGATCCTTAATAATTAAATTTTAGCAAAATAATCCCATATGTTTATTAAAACTTAAATATTAAAACTTTTATGTTTTATTTTACAGGCGGTTCAGGACGGCTTTCGATACCTGTCAACAATTGATTAGACTGAAAACAGTGTCAAGATGAATACGCCGGAACAGGAACTACGGCTGCAGGAAATCAATGACAGTTATGTTTCGATTCTACTTCCGGTAATCATAGTCATTGGAGTGCTTATGGTGTTGGGTTTATTCGGAAATCCGCTTGTTATCTATTTTTACGGATGCCGAATGAAAACCACGGCATCCTATATGTTTATAGTGACTTTGGCTATTTTCGACCTGTTATCTTGCGTGATATCTTTGCCCATGGAAATTTCAGACTTAATCAACTTTTACACTTTCGACAGTGCTGCAACATGTCGCGCTCTTCGTTTTGTAAATTATTTTTCTAGTATAGGTTCCGGGACGACTCTAATTGCAATAGCGGTTGACCGATTCCGGAAAATATGCAAACCTTTCGACGCACAGATAACCGACAAAATGGCTAGATGGATAATTGTTGCTGTGATTGGTTTTGCGCTGTTTTGTTCGTGGCCTTCCATTTTTCTCAACACGGTAATTCAGAAAAATCTAACCGAGGATACATCTGTGGTTGCCCGGGATTGTACTCTAAATCCAGCTGATGACTACAAATTATTTGTGACAATCTATAATTCGTTTCTTTTCCTGTGCTTTATCATCGTTTTCATAGTGCTTACAGCGTTGTATACGCTTGTTGGCAGACAACTATACAAGTTGCGTAGCTTCCGGTTCTACGCCACAGGCATCGAGAGAAACGTATCATCTGCTCGTCCTACGAGTTCGATGACGGTTGCGAGTGACATGACAAACTCCGAAGGCAGGAGCAGAACGGATGATTTGGCTGGTTTAGGGAATGACCTCAGGGACGGTTCACTTTCGCCTATCGGCGAAGACGACTATGCCAACCGTCGCCCTACCTCGGCCAATTCAATCGCGGTCAGTGCTCGGTCGCTGAAAATGGGTCCACACAAAGTTATCCCTCAAACAATGGATCCAGACCACGAGAAGGACATTGTAAATGGAGTATCGGGAAAAATTCGGCAAACTAGAAGTTTTACCGAAAAATCAGGCACCGAAAAAGTTCCGGAGAATATTCGTAGAGTAAGTTCGGCTACCATGGCGAACAAGGGGAAAGCATTTGGACAAAACAAGTTTGGAAGCCCTATGCGTGAAGGGTCTGCTACATCAAGGATGTCATACGCGTCCACAGCAAACTCCATGGCGGAAATAGAAACACGTGACGCGTACGCTTCAGGAAATATTGACCACCGAAAGGAAAAGATGCGATCGCAAAATATAAACACCAAGCGATACACGATAATTGCTCTGTCCATAAGTATTGCGTTTGTTCTCAGCTTTTTGCCCTATTTGTGTCTAGTGATATGGTCAACGTTATTTATAACTTATGACCCGAACGAGTTCACGCCAGCACAGCTTGTTGCCAGTGAGCTTTTTCACAGGTCATTTTTATTCAACTGCGCCTTAAATCCAATCATATACGGCTTCCTGAACACGGAATTCAAGAAAATGGTTTTCGGACAATGTGCAAAACTTTTCTGTTGCTGCTGCAAAACCAGACACAAAGAGGGAGATATGGCTCATGCAGAACTTAGTGGACTGTCCCGGTCTACGTAATTTACGTCATTTCCGCTGCAGTATTCTGCAATAGACAGAACGACCACGTGTGCTATAGGATCATGTATGCCTTTCTGGTCTGGTGACGATTTTACACAGTAAAACTCTTACATGATTTGTGGAGCATCACCAATCGTCTTCCAGTTATCAGCACATCTCCTTTTTTTTCGCGCCGGAAGATAAATTCAGATCAGGAGGGCATATGTAAAAAGTTTGATTTTAAAATGGAAAATTAATTTATCTTAATATGCTTTCAGTAGGTAACTGAAGTGTATGAAAACGCATTTTAAATTAATTCCGGAACTTAAGTGTTATAGTGTGATTCTTATTATTACATTTTTCCAGAAAGATATTAGTCCGGACCTTTTTTCGGTTTTCGGAAATGATTCCATTTGATTTCGTGAACATATTTTCGTACCTGTGTACTTTCTATATATAAATTTTATGTAACTTATAATTTTATAATTGACTTAGTGCTCGTGATATGTATATTTTATATTTTTTTTATAGATAATATAAATCAAACCAGTTCTTATGTATGGGGAGGGTGGGGGGCGGATGGATGGGGGTGGTACCCTCGGCAAACGATTGGCTTTTAACAGCAATACCTGAGTGTTTAATTTATTCAGTTTTTACTTTATCTTCATTTCTGTTTCAAAATTTCCGATTTTTTATTTACAAGAAAGCTGTGTTTTCTTTGACAGAAAATAGCTTCAGTTTTGTTGAAAAGAAATAAAAGGCAGACTTACAGTATACGTTTCACACTTAATGATTTGTTTTAACATCATCACTCCGAATTACAGTATTGGCCAAAATGCCTGTTACAAGAAAGTATTGAAAAGCCATTGTATTATAAAAGTACATCTGAGAGTTTTTATAGCAACAATGCGCGGCATGTTAGATATAATAGGTTAGCTATACAGAGCTCCTACTATGTATGTTAGCGGTCCATTCCACTCACAACAGGTTATACACTTACCTAACTGTACATTTACTGTATACGTCAAAACCCATGTATCACTTATTTACCCTTACACTGGAATGGATTCATCCTATTTTCACGCATATGAATCTCAAGGCTCTGGTACAGCTAGCAACCTATGCATTGCATGAGAATGCCTCACACAGTCTTCAATGACCTAAGGGAGGCAACTTTTATAAAAAAAAGTACATCTAAAGGCATTTTTAAAGATCCTAGCGCTTCAGTTCTGACTTAAATCCAACACCTCTGGGTAAAATTTGTTTGCTCCCTCTATTTACTTCATTAGCGAAACATCCTTTTTCTGTTTGCCAATTTATTTATAATACAATGCGGCAAAATATCACATTTGTTATATGCTATTGTAACATTTTAACGTTTCAAATATACAGTGTACGTATTTTTTATGTGGTATTCATGTTAACTAAAATGAAATAGGCTGTAAGTGAATATATATAAATAAACGAATATATCAGTTTGTACCTGTGAGTGCTTATAACAAGGTGTGATCTTGTGAATGTATGAACAATAAAACATGTCCCGAAGAGGAATACATAAATTGAAAAGAAAGAATTGTTTATATATTTTATTTATTATGATTATCTCACTATGAAGCGGACTGAAACCACATCCAATCTCTACCCAACCTAGATTCTCCAGGGGTTCCGCTCACTTTCGCTCTCTGCACCCCTGGAATATGTCTTAGCAAAATTGAAGGCACGCGGCTAGCTGTTTGATTGGTCTCAGGTAAACAAACCTGACCAATCGCTAGGCTGATATATACATGTTCTTTGAAGATTACAGAGAAGCCACTCCGGACATCAAAGCCATTCTATTTACCGTCATGTGACCGCGATATTCTTTTGATTTACATCATAGGAACAAGACAGCACACACTAAGCTTTCAATTCTGCTACGACACCCTCCAGGGATGCAAAGAGCAAAAGTATGATCTCCACCCAGAGTTGACGTTCCTGACACTCACACACACCTCTGTCAACGGCTAGAAATTAGTCTGCATTATGATAAGCCTCTGATCATGTGATACTTGGTCATGTGCATTAGGACATTACACTATGGGCAGCATTGGTCATCACGTAAGTTCACCAGAATGTCGCCTTTTCTGTAATAGATATTCCAATGGTTTGAACTGTTTGCCTGTTAAAACCGAAACCAGGTGCATATTTATTTGCATTTTTTTTTACAATATAATCTTTCACACTCATCACGAATCCAACATGTGCTAACAGCGTGGTTTAATTTAAGTGGTGTACGTAGATACCAAGTCAGATTACACAATGGCGGATACAAACATAATCAAATCAGTTTTGTGTGACATGTTTTGGAAAAGTGAAGTTTTTAATTAATTGATTGTATAACACATTTCTGAAATACTCGAAAGCTTGTGAGTGTAAGTGAACGACAACTACGGTTAGAGATTAAAACCATATCTACTTTCCCGCCTCTGTCGTAGGAGAGTTCCAAATCAAAACAACCATCTATAACATAAGGATACCCCCATTGAAAACTGTCATTTCTGAACAGAAAATCATTCTTTGCGAGACCTAGCTGGAAACGTAATAAATATGAATCAAACAAAATAGTTCTGAGTGTAAAGACACAAAAGAACTAAACCAGGGCCCGTATTCATCATGAAACTGTTCTCATGCTCAGGTATAAATTCTGTGCTCAAACCAACTTTTTTTGTACAGTAAACTGTAACTCGCTCAAGTACTGTGACACAGGCAATGTTGTAAAAATTTGAAACGGTAATTGGCTTGAAGTCTCTCTATCATTCATCATATCATCGACAAAATGTGACTCTTCAATAATTTATAACTGTAACAAGAAATTGGGCTTGAGCACAGATTCTGAGTTTGAGCATGAGAACAGTTTCATGAATACGGGTCCAGATTCGTTCTCATTCTCAAGCATGGATTCTTTGCTTAAGCTCAATTTCTTGTTCTTGTTATAACTTAATAAATAAAACATGTTTTGTCAATGATTTGTAAACATTTTGAAGAGACTTAAAGCCAAATACTGTTTTCAATGTTTACATTTGACCTTTTGATCGTTTGACATGTACAAGGATTCGTAAAAAAACACTTTTGACTTATCTCCCCTAGAACTCACAGTCTCCCGATTTCATACATCAAATATGCAAGTACAGTATATATAAATTTATTAAGGATCACCGTTCCGCTGCCAAAAATGAAACTATGCATTCGAAACTGATTTTTTCGCAATGATTATAACTTTGATAAAAAAATGAAAAAGGAAAAAGAGGTATGCCTTGCAGGTACTTAAACAAAAGTGTTCAACAAGTGTTCTGGGTGTTAAAAAGCGTGGTTACACAAAAATTCGAAAAATGGACATCGAATTGTTATACTGTCGTTCTAACCGACTGAGCTACTTGGTCTACGGAAGTGTCACGGACAAACTGTGCTGCAGTTATATCCAAACCAAATTAAGGGGAAGTAATTGTAAAAACGAAAATTCACGGTGCAGTGGGGCAGGGATCCTTAAGAATGCTTATATCGATAAGAATTAATCAAGATCGTCAATGATATGACAATACTTAACCAATCATACAGCAAAGAATTTGGTCAGAAATAAGTCGAGTTCAAATGAACTTGTTCGTCCTTAGGTGTCATCATTTGTAGGTTAAGTATTTAAATCGCAAGTAGGGGTCATTGCAATCGTTACGTTTGCATATACATAACTGTAATCGTATTACTAGCAATACTGTTATTTTTTTGTAGTCTTTTCTAATATATGTTTGGATTTGGACACAATATCCTGACGCAACAACTGGAAAACACCACATTTTTATTGATTCGTTTCTGCTCATTGTAAAGATAAAGACATTAAGTACAGAAAGTTTATTGAAAACCATCCTCGATATTCCAGGGGTTACGAAGTTACGATTATGGAGTAGCCGGGGATGACTGAAAACGTGAACATGAAACGGTTTCTGATTATTGTTAAGATATAGGCGGCAAGTACAAAAAGTTTACTGAAAACGTAATCGGCCATATTTGTCACTTCCGAGTTAGTCCAGGTCATCGCGGTGGATCCTTGTTTAAGGGCCTGTCACACCTAGCCGGTTTGGGTCCCCGTAGCTATACTGGAGCACGGCGATTTTCGGGGCTCGATACTAGACCGGTAGTACATTGTCAACACATCGTCAGAACATCGGCGAAACAAATTACTAACGGGAGGCGACGGTCGAAAATTTTGAACTTGCTCAAAAATTTCCGCCGTTGCGCTGCAGGAGCAAGTGCTTTTGCAAGTAGTTTCTGGCCGTTCGATTTTTTTGCTCCGGTTTAGTCCCGGCGAGGTACATTGGTAGTGTGTAACATGCCCTTTAGTTGCTGTATAGATATAAATAAGCAACTACTGATGTACAGAATGTTTTCTCATCTTTTGACAAATATCATTAGCTGACTGTTGAAGGGAATAGAAGTGTTGAAGTACCAGAGACACACGGAGGCGAAGACATTATCAGAAAATTTCAAAAATTTAAGGATTCAAACTATTGTGATTAGATTCACGTGTATCTACTGGTTTATTATATAGATAAATGTTATATGATTTTCTATGTATTTTTTAATTACATAACGTTCCCAACACTTCGAAAGGATACAAGTAGGAGAAATGTGTTGCTATCACAACAATGTGATTTTGAAACATTGATATCTCGTTGGCGAGACTGTGATGATGTAATGTTGCCAACTCTTGTTTTCATACTTATGATATGACAAATACCTACAATAACAAAAACTTAGCTGTTGAGGCCAACCAACACTACAAAAGAATACTCTGCTCCTGGTCGCTCGACAGTGGCAAGACAAGAAAACTCCTGACTGAGTGTAGAATTCACTTTTGAAGTAGGACTGCGCAAAAACAACAGGAATGACTGCAATTGTGATGGAAACAAAACACACGAACCCTAAGCTAATGTAATCAGTATAGGAAGTCCATTGAAGGTATTATCGCGAAGAACAGCTATTTTATTGTGTAATAGATGGAGGGATTCAAGTACAGACAGTCCACTGAAGGTATTATCGTGAAGAAGCTGTATTTGATTGTGTGATAGATGGAAGGTTTCAAGTACAGAAAGTCCCCTGAAGGTATTATCGCGAAGAACAGCTATTTGATCATGTAATGGATGGAGGGATTCAAGTACAGACAGTCCACTGTGTGATAGATGGAGGGTTTCAAGTACAGACAGTTCACTGAAGGAATTATCACGAAGAACCTATATTTGGTTGTGTGATAGTGGAGGGATTCAAGTACACACAGTCCACTGACGGTATTATCACGAAGAACATGTATTTGGTTGTGTGATTGATGGAGGGTTTCAAGTACAGACAGGGCACTGAAGATATTATCGTGAAAGTATTATCGCGAAGAACAGCAATTTGATCGTGTGATAGATTGAGGGTAGATGGAGGGTTTCAGGTACAGACAGTCCAGAGCATGCATTATCGCGAAGAACCTGCATTTGGTTGTGTGATAGTGGAGGGAGTCAAGTACAGACAGTCCGCTGAAGGCATTATCGCGAAGAACAGCTATTTTATTGTGTAATAGATGGAGGGATTCAATTACAGACATCCACTGAAACTGAATGTATTGCCGCGAAGAACATCAATTTGATCATGTGATAGATGGATGGATTCAAATACAGACAGTTAGTACAGACAGTCCACTCAAGGTATTATATCATGTGATAGATGGATGGATTCAAATACAGACAGTTAGTACAGACAGTCCACTGCAGGTACTATTGTGTGATAGATGGAAGGTTTCAGGTACAGAAAGTCCACTGATGGTATTATCGCGAAGAAACCCCCTTTGATCGTGTGATAGATGGAGGGGTTCAAGTACAGACAGTTCACTGAAGTTATTATCACGAAGAACCTATATTTGGTTGTGTGATAGATGGTGCGCTTTAAGTTCAGACAGCGCAACACAGCTATTTGATTGTGCGATAGATGGAGGGATTCAAGGACAGAAAGTCCATTGAAGGTATTATCGCGAACAACAGATATCTGATTGTGTGATAGATGGACGGATTTAAGTACAGACAGTGCCCTGAAGATATTATCGCGAAAAACCTGTATTTGGTTGTTTGATAGATGGAGGGTTTCAGGTACAGACAGTCCACAGCATGTATTATCGCGAATAACCTGTATTTGGTTGTTTGATAGATGGAGGGTTTCAGTTACAGACAGTCCAGAGCATTTATTATCGCGAAGAACCTGCATTTGGTTGTGTGATAGTGGAGGGAGTCAAGTACAGACAGTCCGCTGAAGGTATTATCGCGTAGAACCTGTATAGACAGTTCACTGAAGGAATTATCACGAAGAACCTATATTTGGTTGTGTGATAGTGGAGGGAGTCAAGTACAGACAGTCCCCTGTAGGTATTATCGCAAAGAACAGCTATTTGATCGTGTAATGGATGGAGGGATTCAAGTAAAGACAGTCCGCTGAAGGTATTATCGCGAACAACAGCTATTTGATTGTATGATAGATGGAGGGATTTAAGTACAGACAGTGCACTGAAGATATTATCGTGAAGAAGTTGTATTTGAGTGTGTGATAGATGCAGAGATTCAAGTACAGACAGTTCACTGAAGGAATTATCACGAAGAACCTATATTTGGTTGTGTGATAGATGGTGCGCTTTAAGTTCAGACAGCGCAACACAGCTATTTGATTGTGCGATAGATGGAGGGATTCAAGTAAAGACAGTCCGCTGAAGGCATTATCGCGAAGAACAGATATCTGATCGTGTGATAGATGGAGGGGTTCAAGTACAGACAGTTCGCTGAAGGCATTATCGCGAAGAACCTGCATTTGGTTGTGTGATAGTGGAGGGATTCAAGTACAAACAGTCCATTGGATGAATAATCACGAAGAACAGCTATTTGCTCATGTAATGGATAAAGGGATTCAAGTACAGAGAGTCCACTGTAGGTATTATCGCAAAGAACAGCTATTTGATAGTGTGATAGATGGAGGGTTTCAAGTACAGACAGTTCACTGAAGTTATTATCACGAAGAACCGCTATCTGATTGTGTGATAGATGGACGGATTTAAGTACAGACAGTGCACTGAAGGTATTATCACGAAGAAGCTGTATTTGGTTGTGTGATAGTGGAGGGATTCAAGTACAAACAGTCCATTGGTGGTATTATCACGAAGAAGTTGTATTTGAGTGTGTGATAGATGCAGAGATTCAAGTACACACAGTCCACTGACGGTATTATCACGAAGAACATGTATTTGGTTGTGTGAGGTGGGGAGGGTTTCAAGTACTGACAGTCTACTGAAGGTATTATCGCGTAGAACCTGTATAGACAGTTCACTGAAGGTTTTATCACGAAGAACCTGTATTTGGTTGTGTGATAGATGGAGGGTTTCAGGTACAGACAGTCCAGAGCATGTATTATCGCGAAGAACCTGTATTTGGTTGTGTGATAGATGGAGGGTTTCAAGTACTGACAGTCCACTGAAGGTATTATCGCGAAGAACAGCTATTTGATCGTGTGATAGATGGAGGGATTTAAGTACAGACAGTGCACTGAAGATATTATCGCGAAAAACCTGTATTTGGTTGTGTGATAGATAGAGGGTTTCAAGAACAGACAGTCCACTGAAGGTATTATCGCGAAAAACCTGTATTTGGTTGTGTGATAGATGGAGAGATTCAAGTACAGACAGTCCACTGAAGGCATTTTTGCGAAGATGCTGTATTTGATTGTGTGATAGATGGAGAGATTCAAGTACAGACAGTCCACTGAATGTATTGTCGCGAAGAACAGCTATTTGATCGTGTGATAGTTGGAGGGATTCAAGTACAGACAGTCCACTGAATGTATTATCGCGAAGAACAGATATCTGATTGTGTGATAGATGGAGGGATTCAATTACAGACATCCACTGAAGGTATAATCGCGAAAAACTGCTATTTGATCGTGTGATAGATGGAGGGATTCAAGTACAGACAGTCCACTGAAGGTATTATCACGAAGAACAGCTATTTGATAGTGTGATAGTTGGAGGGATTCAAGTACAGACAGTGAACTGAAGGGAAGAACAGATATCTGATTGTGGGATAGATGGAGAGATTCAAGTACAGAAAGTCCACTGGAGGTATTATCACGAAGAACAGCTATTTGATCGTGTGATAGATGGAGGGCTTCAAGTACAGACAGTCCACTGAAGGATTTAACGCGAAGAACAGCTATTTTATTGTGTGATAGATGGAGGGTTTCAAGTACAGAGAGTCCACTGGAGGTATTATCACGAAGAACAGCTATTTGATTGTGTGATAGATGGAGGGTTTCAAATACAGACAGTGCACTGAAGGTATTATCGCGAAGAACAGCTATTTGATTGTGTGATAGATAGAGGGATTCAAGTACAGACAGTCCACTGGAGGTATTATCGCGAAGAACAGCTATTTTATTGTGTGATAGATGGAGGGTTTCAAGTACAGACAGTCCACTGGAGGTATTATCGCGAAGAACAGCTATTTGATCGTGTGATAGATGGAGGGATTCAAGTACAGACATTCCACTGAAGGTTTTATCGCGAAGAACCTGTATTTGGTTGTGTGATAGATGGAGGGATTTAAGTTCAGACAGTCCACTGAAGGTATTATCGCGAGGAACAGTTATTTGATCATGTAATTTATTGAGGGAATCAAGTACAGACATTCCACTGAAGGTATTATCACGAAGAACAGCTATTTGATTGTGTGATAGATGGAAGGATTCAAGTACAGACATTCCACTGAAGGTATTATCGCGAAGAACCTGTATTTGGTTGTGTGATAGATGGTGGGATTTAAGTTCAGACAGTGCACTGAAGGTATTATCGCGAGGAACAGTTATTTGATCATGTCATTTATGGAGGGATGCAAGTACAGACAGTGCACTGAAGATATTATCGTGAAAAAGCTGTATTTTATTGTGTGATAGATGGAAGGTTTCAAGTACAGAAAGTCCACTGAAGGTATTATCGCGTAGAACCTGTATTTGGTTGTTTGATAGATGGAGGGTTTCAAGTACAGACAGTCCACTGCAAGTACTATTGCGAAGAAGCTGTATTTGGTTGTGTGATAGATGGAGGGATTCAAGTACAGACAGTCCACTGAAGGTATTATCGCGAAGAACAGCTATTTGATCGTGTGATAGATTGAGGGATGCAAGTACCGACCTCCACTGAAGGTATTATCGCGAAGAACCTATATTTTGTTGTGTAATAGATAGAGGGTTTCAAGTACAGACAGTCCACTGAAGGTATTATCGCGGAGATGCTGTATTTGATTGTGTGATAGATGGAGAGATTCAAGTACACACAGTCCACTGAAGGTATTATCACGATGAACAGCGATTTGATTATGTGATAGATGGAGGGATTCAAGTACAGACAGTCCGCTGAAGGTATTATCGCGAAGAACATAGATTGAGGGATGCAAGTACCGACCTCCACTGAAGGAATTATCGCGAAGATGCTGTATTTGATTGTGTGATAGATGGAGTGATTTAAGTACAGACAGTCCACTAAAGGTATTATCGCGAGGAACAGTTATTTGATCATGTAATTTATTGAGGGATTCAAGTACAAACAGTCCATTGAAGGTATTATCACGAAGAACAGCTATTTGATTGTGTGATAGATGGAGGGATGCAAGTACAGACATCCACTGAAGGTATTTTCGCAAAGAACAGCTATTTGATCGTGTGATAGATGAAGAGATTCAAGTACAGACAGTCCACTGGAGGTATTATCACGAAGAAGCTGTATTTGATCGTGTATTAGATGGAGGGATTCAAGTACAGACAGTGAACTGAAGGTATTATCTCGAAGAACAGCTATTTGATCGTGTGATAGATGGAGGGATTCAATTACAGACAGTGCACTGAAGATATTATCGTGAAAAAACTGTATTTGATTGTGTGATAGATGGAAGGTTTCAAGTACAGAAAGTCCACTGAAAGGTATTATTGTGAAGAAGCTGTATTTGGTTGTGTGATAGATGGAGGGATTCAAGTACAGACAGTCCACTGAAGGTATTATCGCGAAGAACAGCTATTTGATCGTGTGATAGATTGAGGGATGTAAGTACCGACCTCCACTGAAGGTATTATCGCGAAGAACCTGTATTTTGTTGTGTGATAGATAGAGGGTTTCAAGTACAGACAGTCCACTGAAGGTATTATCGCGAAGAACCTGTATTTGGTTGTGTGATAGATGGAGGGTTTCAAGTACAGACAGTCCACTGAAGGTATTATCGCGAAGATGCTGTATTTGATTGTGTGATAGATGGAGTGATTCAAGTACAGACAGTCCACTGAAGGTATTATCACGAAGAAGCTGTATTTGTTTGTGTGATAGATGGAGAGATTCAAGTACAGACAGTCCACTGAAGGATTTAACGCGAAGAACAGCTATTTGATTGTGTGATAGATGGAGGGTTTCAAGTACATACATTGTACTGAAGGTATTATCGTGAAGAAGCTGTATTTGGTTGTGTGATAGATGGAGGGTTTCAAGTACAGACATTCCACTGAAGGTATTATCACGAAGAACAGCTATTAGATCGTGTGATAGATGGAGGGATTCAAGTACAGACATTCAACTGAAGGTATTATCACGAAGAACAGCTATTTGATTGTGTGATAGATGGAGGGATTCAAGTACAGACATCCACTGAAGGTATTATCGCGAAGAACAGCTATTTGATCGTGTGATAGATGGAGGGTTTCAAGTACAGACAGGTCACTGCAGGTACTATTGCGAAGAAGCTGTATTTGGTTGTGTGATAGATGGAGGGATTCAAGTACAGACAGTCCACTGAATGTATTATCGCGAAGAACAGCTATTTGATTGTGTGATAGATGGAGGGATTCAAGTACAGACAACCACTGAAGGTATTATCGCGAAGAACAGCTATTTGATCGTGTGATAGATGGAGGGATTTAAGTACAGACATCCACTGAAGGTATTATCGCGAAGAACAGCTATTTGATCGTGTGATAGATGGAGGGTTTCAAGTACAGACAGGTCACTGCAGGTACTATTGCGAAGAAGCTGTATTTGGTTGTGTGATAGATGGAGGGATTCAAGTACAGACAGTCCACTGAATGTATTATCGCGAAGAACAGCTATTTGATTGTGTGATAGATGGAGGGATTCAAGTACAGACATCCACTGAAGGTATTATCGCGAAGAACAGCTATTTGATCGTGTGATAGATGGAGGGTTTCAAGTACAGACAGGTCACTGCAGGTACTATTGCGAAGAAGCTGTATTTGGTTGTGTGATAGATGGAGGGATTCAAGTACAGACAGTCCACTGAATGTATTATCGCGAAGAACAGCTATTTGATTGTGTGATAGATGGAGGGATTCAAGTACAGACATCCACTGAAGGTATTATCGCGAAGAACAGCTATTTGATTGTGTGATAGATGGAGGGATTCAAGTACAGACATCCACTGAAGGTATTATCGCGAAGAACAGCTATTTGATCGTGTGATAGATGGAGGGTTTCAAGTACAGACAGGTCACTGCAGGTACTATTGCGAAGAAGCTGTATTTGGTTGTGTGATAGATGGAGGGATTCAAGTACAGACAGTCCACTGAATGTATTATCGCGAAGAACAGCTATCTGATTGTGTGATAGATGGAGGGATTCAAGTACAGACATCCACTGAAGGTATAATCGCGAAGAACTGCTATTTGGTCATGTGATAGATGGAGGGATTCAAGTACAGACAGTCCGCTGAAGGTATTATCGCGAAGAACAGCTATTTGATCGTGTGATAGATGGAGGGTTTCAAGTACAGACAGTCCACTGCAGGTACTATTGCGAAGAAGCTGTATTTGGTTGTGTGATAGATGGAGGGATTCAAGTACAGACAGTCCACTGAATGTATTGTCGCGAAGAACAGCTATTTGATCATGTGATAGATGGAGGGATTCAAGTACAGACATCCACTGAAGGTATTATCGCGAAGAACAGCGATTTGATTTTGTGATAGATGGAGGGTTTCAAGTACAGACAGGTCACTGCAGGTACTATAGCGAAGAAGCTGTATTTGGTTGTGTGATAGATGGAGGGATTCAAGTACAGACAGTCCACTGAATGTATTGTCGCGAAGAACAGCTATTTGATCATGTGATAGATGGAGGGATTCAAGTACAGACATCCACTGAAGGTATTATCGCGAAGAACAGCGATTTGATTTTGTGATAGATGGAGGGTTTCAAGTACAGACAGGTCACTGCAGGTACTATAGCGAAGAAGCTGTATTTGGTTGTGTGATAGATGGAGGGATTCAAGTACAAACAGTCCACTGAATGTATTATCGCGAAGAACAGATATCTGATTGTGTGATAGATGGAGGGATTCAAGTACAGACATCCACTGAAGGTATAATCGCGAAGAACTGCTATTTGATCGTGTGATAGATGGAGGGATTCAAATACAGACAGTTCGCTGAAGGTATAATCGCGAAGAACAGCTATTTGCTCGTGTGATAGATGGAGGGTTTCAAGTACAGACAGTCCACTGCAGGTACTATTGCGAAGAAGCTGTATTTGGTTGTGTGATAGATGGAGGGATTCAAGTACAGACAGTCCACTGAATGTATTGTCGCGAAGAACAGCTATTTGATCATGTGATAGATGGAGTGATTCAAGTACAGACAGTCCACTGAAGGTATTATCACGATGAACAGCGATTTGATTATGTGATAGATGGAGGGATTCAAGTACAGACAGTCCACTGAAAGTATAATCACGAAGAACTGCTATTTGGTCATGTGATAAATAGAGGGATTCAAGTACAGACAGTCCGCTGAAGGTATTATCGCGAAGAACTGCTATTTGGTCATGTGATAGATGGAGGGATTCAAGTACAGACAGTCCGCTGAAGGCATTATCGCGAGGAACAGCTATTTGATCGTGTGATAGATGGAGGGTTTCAAGTACAGACAGTCCACTGCAGGTACTATTGCGAAGAAGCTGTATTTGGTTGTGTGATAGATGGAGGGATTCAAGTACAGACAGTCCACTGAATGTATTGTCGCGAAGAACAGCTATTTGATCATGTGATAGATGGAGGGATTCAAGTACAGACATCCACTGAAGGTATAATCGCGAAGAACTGCTATTTGGTCATGTGATAGATGGAGGGATTCAAGTACAGACAGTCCGCTGAAGGCATTATCGCGAAGAACAGCTATTTGATCGTGTGATAGATGGAGGGTTTCAAGTGCAGACAGTCCACTGCAGGTACTATTGCGAAGAAGCTGTATTTGGTCATGTGATAGATGGAGGGATTCAAGTACAGACAGTCCGCTGAAGGCATTATCGCGAGGAACAGCTATTTGATCGTGTGATAGATGGAGGGTTTCAAGTACAGACAGTCCACTGCAGGTACTATTGCGAAGAAGCTGTATTTGGTTGTGTGATAGATGGAGGGATTCAAGTACAGACAGTCCACTGAATGTATTGTCGCGAAGAACAGCTATTTGATCATGTGATAGATGGAGGGATTCAAGTACAGACATCCACTGAAGGTATAATCGCGAAGAACTGCTATTTGGTCATGTGATAGATGGAGGGATTCAAGTACAGACAGTCCGCTGAAGGCATTATCGCGAAGAACAGCTATTTGATCGTGTGATAGATGGAGGGTTTCAAGTGCAGACAGTCCACTGCAGGTACTATTGCGAAGAAGCTGTATTTGGTTGTGTGATAGATGGAGGGATTCAAGTACAGACAGTCCACTGAATGTATTGTCGCGAAGAACAGCTATTTGATCATGTGATAGATGGAGGGATTCAAGTACAGACATCCACTGAAGGTATTATCGCGAAGAACAGCGATTTGATTATGTGATAGATGGAGGGATTCAAGTACAGACAGTCCACTGAAAGTATAATCACGAAGAACTGCTATTTGGGCATGTGATAAATAGAGGGATTCAAGTACAGACAGTCCGCTGAAGGTATTATCGTGAAGAACAGCTATTTGATTGTGTGATAGATGGAGGGTTCTAAGTACTGACAGTCCACTGAAGGTATTATCGCGAAGAAGCTGTATTTGGTTGTGTGATAGATGGAGGGATTCAAGTACAGACAGTCCACTGCCGGTATTATTGCGAAGAACATCGTGTGATAGACCGATGCCTCTAGCGTAGACTGTCCTCCTAAAAACATTATCATGAAGAACAGGTAAAAGATTTTGTGATAGACAGAGAAACGTTAGTACAGACAGTTCACTAAAGAAGGTATCGGTATAGGATACATCTTGAAACTTGAGGGGTTATATAATCCAGTGATAACATTATCAGCCACGGTAGACATATCTGTTATTACTAGATAACTGATGCAGAACAAGTGCGAAAAGTCCCGGAAACGTGAATACACCGGTTAAGTAACGATTGAAATGTTCTCGAAAGGACAGTAAAGCGTACAGAAGTCAGTTGACTGTTGCTGTAGTTGATCGTTAAACCAATACACATACAAAACTATTAACCGGTCTTGGCACACGACGACTCATCGTAACTAGAGCCAAGGCATTGGATGACTCCCTCACAAACTGGTGATATCGGAATGTTGTAACCCTCCTCAGATTGGCAGTAACTGGTCCCAATGACGTGCGCCTATTAGTTTAAATGCGGAAACGTGTAATTAGATCGTTTGTACTTTGGATCCTGTTGATAGTCTGGTGAGTATAAATTTGTTACATTGTTTTGAAGGTCTTTTCTATGACCAGCCACTGAAACAATACAGGGATAGCAAAATGTGGCCACTTTGTATTTTCCTCTTCGTGGTAGTGCTGTCACAAAGTATTAACCGTGATGCCGTGAATGATGCTTTGGTAGAGCAAAGAATATTGGAAAATATTCGACCAATATTGGACGTATATGTGTCAGATAGACTGGAGCGAAACCAAAACGTGATTGAAAAACTTCAGCAAAGAATCGGTCATTTAGAAAATCGATATGAAGAAAGGATAAACTTGTTGGAAACCTACAAGAGCACAAAAGGTAACGCATATTTAACATGTATATGTTATAAATCGGAATGCATGTACTAGGTAAATTGGGGAACATGGGTATAATCTGACTTAAAGAACACGCTCTTCACTTTGATGACAATAACATTCTAGGAACATTTCTCTCTGGGATGCTATAAAGGTTGTCGGGTGGTGTAGTGGATAGCACATTTGCCTTTCACCAAGGCGGCCGTGGTTTGATTCCCCGATCGGACGTGAAAAGGTGTAGGGTCACCTGCCCGACCACTTGGGTTTTCTCCGGGTACTCCGGTTTCCTCTTACACTAAGACCCCATGCGCGCTAACGTCCGGGCCAACAAGAGTGATTAATATAAGTTGAAATAACTTTTTTCATAATTGTTACAGACAATAAATAAAGTTAGAAAACATTCTAGGAAGGCTTATAGCATATTGTTGTATAATGTGATCAGTAAAGCAGGTTTACTACAAGCACTCTTATCGATTCATTATAAATAAGGCATAATTGTGTAATTAACGTGACATTACTTAAGTTTTCAAACGAATACATTTTGCTTATAACGAGCTTATATGTTTTCACTTGTTTCATTATAGAACCACTTTTACCCACAACCACTTGTGTATACTGTATACCGGGGAATTTTAGCCGCAGTGTAACTTTCACCTCTTTCGCCTTCCGATCTGAGGGCGAATTTAACATGACGGCGAAAGTTAGAATAAGAATTATGTATACGACGGCAAATGTTTTGTCACTATTTCGTCTACACTGAGGCTTAACTCGGGTATTGTACTGGGCCTACTTGTATAAAACATCTCAAATCTTGAGATTTCCTCAAATCTAAGATTTCCCATCGACAATACATTGCTTGAGATTTTCCTTAACTTTCAGATGTTTTATACAAGTGGTCCCTGTACTGTACTGCGGTGTAGGGATAATTTAACACTGGACAAATAATGACTGTGCCGATGAAGGATGAAAGTTAAACGGGGCGAAAGTTTCCAGGTATACAGTATATAGTTCATAGCAATCGAATGTTTTCCGATATAATATCTGAGCGTTCTGTGGAAAAAAGGTCCCCAAACTTGTGATGGTTGATTATCATGTGTATCTACATTGTAACTCTCGTTTTATATACCGATTATTTTCAAGTATGCCACATTGTTCTAATATACACTTTTACCTGCTGACAGCTGACGAAGGACCTGTGTTTACCAGATGGGGTAGAATCGACTGCCCCGTTAACACAACAACTATGGTATATTCAGGTAAGACTGTTATTGTTATACTATATATAATGTATCTTCGTATAAAAGATTACACGTATGTTTTCTTCTTGTAGGATATGTTAGTTATACATGTGTTATTGATATCAAATACTTAATATCCTGTTTTGAAATATCTTATAGGGTTTTCTTTATCAGGTAAATTTGTTTTATATTTTTAATCATATATCTTGTACACACTAAAATTGTCGCAAAACTGACAATTATTACATTATATTTACAGTTTCAAGTGTAATTGACTCAATAACCTTTGTCGATAACGACAGTCATTCTCGTGCGCGTAGTGATACATACACCGTGTACATATGTGTACGTCAACAACCCGGGGGTTTTCATTGCTATTTTCGGAAATAAACAGAAGTACCTGGGATACCAGATTTGTACAACTCATTAGTGTATTCATGCAAAAGATACATGGTTGAAATGTATACATTCATTGTTGAAATTCATACATTCCGATGACGTCACGTTGTTTACAGCGACCGATGATTACTGCACCGACTGACAGGACGGCTGGATTTTGTGTTTTTCTACGTGTTTGTGATCATTTACATACGTTTACTTTAATGACATAGTGTAAAAAGTACCCAGAAATACGATAGTAAATTCAATTTTGACAATAACGTTGATAACTGCACTCGATGGAATGGTAGATAAAGGTAATCACAGGACGGGTTCGAAAAAACCTGACCTACCATGTCATATGGCTAAATGTACCTAAATACTGATAGTTAGATCACAGCACACGAACTGGGTTTTGTAATGATTGCCTAGTTACCGTTGCCGTGGAGTCTACAAGAACAAACGAGAGATCCAAAAACTGCGAGCATCTGGTGTTGTATTATAGGGTTTTGGAAATAAACGGGACATCTTTGGGTATTGAATATAACTGTTGAGATAAACTGGTAATGATATGAACACGAAATGATTTTATCATAACAGTTTAAAAGTGCGAATGAAATATTGAAAAATACGCGTGCATCGGGTAACGCAACTTTGCAAATTGTGCTAAAAATAGCCGCATAGAGCAACTTTGAAGTATACATTATCGCTAATGAGTAATGCTCCAAACGGACCTGCTATGTATGTAATTTCTTATGTATATGATGTCCAAAATATCATATAATTGATCTAAGATATTTTAATTATAGGATATATTTAATAGAGATTGATACTTTATAAGCAATTAAGATATCGAATATAATATATCATAAGTTTATGAAAATCCAGATTTACATTCCTTCCTAAATGAATGTGTATTTGCCTTTTCGCCACATGTTTACTTTTTCACTTGTTCAGTGTAGCAATACGATTTTATTATCGCGGTAAATTGTTTAATATCGCAATACGCTTTTAGTATCGCGGTAAATTGTTTAATATCGCAATACGCTTTTAGTATTTACGTATACTAATATACCAGTATACCAATATTAGGATCTCCGTATCGTATCACCTCCGGTTTTGTCAAATTTCTAATCTGGTTATAATAATTTTAGATAAATGTTTAAAATTGCATCATTCCGCATTTGAATGAAAAAATACGTAAACATAAAAGTAAAAAGTGCTAAAAACGTTATATGTTATATCTAAGTGTGGACAAACAAACAATGGACACCTGAATATATGCCTCACTCGGTAATCGAATTATGATCAAATGCCTTATGTATCAGTATAGAAATTATATTGTACGTTTATCTAAAAGGCATAGTTATAATGGTGCACGCAGGATAGCGATAGGCGTAAACAGGGCTTGAAGAGTGCCACAATAAGAACACGAAACGTCATCCCCCTCTTTTTAGATGCTTTAAAACAATGGTTTAATATTCTGAAAATATTAAGATCAGATGCTAAATGGAGACTTTTGTTTATTTCAATTCAAGATAATATATCAGGATATGTATGGTATTATAATGTAAGCAGGATAGTTACATACACCGTCGTTTGCTTACCTATCTTATTTAAGTATTTTATCAACTGTTAACTTGGAAACCGTCATATAGAACTACTATTGTAATGCGTTAACTTTCTTATCCAGGATATGCTGGTGGGTCTCATTTTACCCATTCTGGAGCTGCAGCTGAATACGTCTGTATGCCAAGTGATCCGATCTGGGGACCACATAAAGATATTGTTCACAATGACTGGGTAGGTTTTATGTATGGGGCTGAGTACCAGGCCCCTAATATCATGTTTGGGATGTCTGGTGGCGTACATGATGTACCGTGCGCCGTTTGTCTTGGTAATCAGCGCACAACTTCTCTCATGATCCCGGGTAGGACAGAGTGCTACCCCGGTTGGACGGAGGCGTATCATGGTGACTTAGCCTCCGGTTACCATAGCTTCCAAGCAGCGTCACAATACGTGTGTGTGGATAAGGACCCACAGACGTTTCCCACGAGAACCCTCCTAGATGAAAATGGTAAACTGTTTTACGGGGTCAAAACTAAATGTGGGTCTTTGCCTTGTCCGCCATACGAGGATGGGAAATTCCTGTCTTGTGTTGTTTGTATGAAATGAATTGTCAAATAAATGAGGACACAACAAACTGGTACCCCATTTGCAATTGATTAATCATTATTTTTCGTGTCTATTAATACATACATACAAAAAATGCATCCTAAGGCCTTGTGATGGTTAAAAATGAAACAAATGACAAAAGAGTTTCTTAGTACTTTCATAGTACTGTCATCTCTTTAGAGGTTCATCAGGAAAAGGTTTATTCATGTTGACAGGATAACAGCACAACAAAGATGGTGTTACAAACAATAGCTATATAATTACAGACATGAGTATAACAACCGACTTTTCGCAAACATTTTCTTTATATATCTATGAACTAGTTAAAAAGAAATTACTAAAGAGGTTTTTTTCAGTATAAGTACTTTCACCTTTAAAAATTCATATCTATAAAAATAAATAATCTCAACAACACGTCTGAAGTATTTTCATCACTTCAAGGAGATTTGTCAAACAGTTCATTTGAAGAAGATATTATGACGTCATATATATATATATAGTTGTCAAAATGTAACATCTTCTTTTGTCAATAAAAACATATTTTCATATAATTTACTTGCATTGTGTACATTTTTATATATGAATATATACAAGCGATGATGAAGTAAGAACGAGAGAGCAGACAAAGGAAGCTGTCAAGTTTTTGAGACAATCAACATATTTATTTCAATGGGAAACTGTTTGTTTCTTACACAAATATGGGCTGAAAGTATATTATGACGTTTCAGAAACAACCCTTTTCTTTATCAATCGTCAAATGGAAATGATACACTCCCGGGGCCAAATAGCCGTAGGTAGAAAGTGCTGTAAAATAGCATTTAAGTTTGAAAAAGTGTCAAAACTTTCAAGCCTACCTATACTATAAAACATCTCAAGTATTATAAGTTAATTGTACTAATTGTACTATGTGTACTCATCTTTGAAACCTGAATAATCTTTTAAGTAGTTTTGAATACTGACAAAGGAATGTATATCTAGCGCGTCTGTTCACCAACAGAAACCGCCTCCCTAGTCTCGGCGTTGCGTAATTTCAGTAACTGTTTATGTAACCTACCAAATTGTTCGTTGCTCGTATGCTTTTCATGAAATAACCACTTTTAATTGATTAAGGAAAAATAATCAATCCCTACCTTAGGATTAAGACAGACAAATCTCTACCCTTGGGGTAAGATTCTTAAAAGTCTGGCCCCTTTGGTTAAGATTTTTCTGTCTTACCCCAAAGGTGGGGAAACTTTACATTAATCGCAGTCGAGGGTTAAGGATTTTGTAGCATAATCCCATCCGAGGCGTAAGCCCCGAACAGGATAGTTGTAGACTATAGGCGTAAGCCCCGAACAGGATAGTTGTAGACTATAGGCGTAAGCCCCGGACGGGATAGTTGTAGACTATAGGCGTAAGCCCCGAACAGGATAGTTGTAGACTATAGGCGTAAGGCCCGAACAGGAGAGTTGTAGACTATAGGCGTAAGCCCCGAACGGGATAGTTGTACAATATAGGCGTAAGCCCCGAACAGGATAGTTGTAGACTATAGGCGTAAACCCCAAACAGGATAGTTGTAGACTATAGGCGTAAGCCCGGGACGGGATAGTTGTAGACTATAGGCGTAAGCCCCGAACAGGATATCTGTAGACTATAGGCGTAAGCCCCGGACGGGATACTTGTAGACTATAGGCGTAAGCCCCGGACGGGATAGTTGTAGACTATAGGCGTAAGCCCCGTCCGGGATACTTGGAGACTATAGGCGTTAGACCCGGACGGGATACTTGTAGACTATATGCGTAAGCCCCGGACGGGATACTTGTAGACTATAGGCGTAAGCCCCGGACGGGATACTTGTAGACTATAGGCGTAAGCGTCTTTTGAGTCATCGATGATTCCCGGCATGTAAATCTAGGTCAAGGTCAAGTAATGCCACGTCGTCATAGCGAGAACCAGTGTATCGGTTACAAAACAACAAGACACTAGGGGCTTATTGACATAATAAAAAAACCCAAAACAAAATCGACCTTCATATCACAACAATAAATAGCATACCTAGTGAGATAATGATTCCGACGGATGATGTCGACGGAAAACGTATCAATAGTCGACATTTCACTGCCTTTGGATATGTGAGTACTGTTATTTTACGAAGCATGGATATGACTATCAAGAAGGAGAAAAGTTCATAGCATATGCGTTTCATTTTTAGGAGTAAGCCAATGTCAACCTTTGAAACTGAGTTAAAGTATCTGATAAGATCTTGCATGTGTGTTATGTTGGGCATATGGTTATGCATAACATAGCATACTGTATAATATGTTTTTATTACCCCACTCCCCCTAAATAGACTTAATGAGAAGAATTATAAAAAAAACAACAACAATAGACCTACATTGTAATCGTACATATAAAGTTTTGTGATTAGTACTGGACACACGTGTGTGACGCAGCTATAAAAGCACTTGGCGTTATGGGTCATTTTTGACAGTTTTTGCACAGTCAGCATGCAGAAATAAAAGCCTCCGTATGTGACAAACAACAATCCCTGTATACGGGTGATCACTGGTATGACAATGTTTGTGTATGTCAAATTGTATTTGTTTGTTACATGCGGAGGCTTTAAAAAAACAAAGAGTGTTTAGTAAATTTCCTTCAAAATGGCAAATTTTCAACCAAATAGCCCACAACAGACGATATTCACTCATTTTATTACCAAAATGCGGGTTTATGTCTCTCTTCGTAATTTCATATCTCCTAAACAAGTTGTCGAATAAATTTGAAATTTCATATGTGCGTACTTCATTTATTCCAGATTACGAATATTACAACTCTTTCTAAATTCCTGATGAGGCCAGAAATTGTCCCTAACGCCTAGTCCTTTGACATTGGATACAGTATTTTAAAAGTAGGACTCAGTGATGCTAGAGGCCAAAACGGTGAAGATCTAAAGATGTCTAAGCTACTGTGTACTAGCGGGTTTCATAAAACCGTTTTATTATATGAATTTCGAAAATAAGAAGGATTTGGTTGATTGAAGTTAGTAATAAGTGAAAAGTGTATTTTCGAAACCATGCCATTACTCAAAAGACATAACTGTTGTCATCAAGGTTACAGCCAACCTCGGGGACTAAAACATCCGCCAACAGAACTTACCAAAAAGTTGGAAATCCAATTGGTCTAAAAAAGCTTTTAAAACAGAAAAGGAAGTACATATAAACCTTTGATAATGATTCAAATTGAGAGGAGTACTGGTTAAAAACATTATAAATCCGATATCCTTAAAATAAGAAGGAGGCAAACACACAAAAATGTTTTGCCTTCCTTTGAAGGTAGACTATGTTTTCGTAAATAATTGAATTATTTATTTATTGAGGATGCCTGCCCCACTGCAGGCAAGGTACTAGATGATTGTACCTGCAGTGTGACGTGGTCATGTTACTTGTACTGCTGTTGACTGGGTTCTTTTATCTCGGTTGGTAAGAACGACAGAATAATGATAAGAGGTTCAACGATGGAATCCTATTCTGGCCTCGTAGCATTTGTATTCATTTAGAACACTTTCATAATTTAAAAAGAAATAAAATGTCGACAATACCACTGAAGAGTCTCTTTAAAGAGCTGAAGGTACTAAAGACGTGTTGCCGACATTTTTTTCTTTTTAATTTATGTATTCGTCCGTTAGGATAATTCTAATACTGGTTGTATTTAACATCACTGGAATGTCATTGATGTTAAGAAATATTTTGAATATATCTTGACAAAAATTTAAGTCACATGATCAAGATGTTTATTTTTTAGTTATTTTTTTTTACTTTTCATACTGCTTTTTGATGATTAAAAAAATAGAAATGGGAATCTTAAAGGGGACTGAAATGTAAAATGGGTGCATTATTTGATCTTACTAATATGTTCCGTAGAGGATCTGTCATAGGTTTCCCTTCATATTATATTAATGAAACAAAATAAATTTGCCAGAGGCTCGCAAACATGAAAAATCCAAAACTTGTATCATAAATCAAATATGAAGGGAAAGTTATGACAGATCCTCTATTGATGTGATGGCTTTATGACAATGCATAACACGGTATTCATATGATAAAAAGTTCTAATTGATACCTTCTAATGCCAATATAGTATCAGCTTACTTGTATCACAAATAGTCAATTAAAAGTTCGCTTTAAAGTCTTTTCGTCTTTTCGTAACTTTTTCGTCTTATGGTTATTTCGGATGATCAGAATGATAATTGGTGAACATTACAACTTGATTTTGTCTGCCAGCAGACAAGTGCTTCTGTGATAGTTTGACATTTATAAGGTCATATCATATTGTTTACAGTGTATTTGTATCTTTATTTTCCGATTTTGAGCCCTTTCTTTTGTTTCTGACATAAAACGAACACTTGTGAATAATTAGCAGCTGCGTACGATAAAACAATACGAGTCGATTTACGCGTCAGATTTTAAGTGGCGACTCTAGCCTGATAATTGGTGTACTTATGGTATATAAATAGATTGCTGTGATGACGCAATAATGATGATAGTTTTCGGCAAAATACTACAATGATTCCGCTGATTTGTATTTTGTGATTTAGATTATGGTTATTTATCAAACTGTGTTGTCTTCATAATGATTATGCACACAACACATAAAACGCACTGCCTATTTTTACAGGTTCCATATTTGAATTAAAATGGTATTTTTTCTGTTGTTATTACTTTTGTTATATAAGATGGTGAAATAATACATATATATGTAGCTTACATATATAACAAGTGAACAATTGTAAAAGGAATCCGAACAGTGAACAAAACCGTTATTCGACTCAAAATATTGAAATTTGGGCAATACATAAAGAAACGAAAGCTTTACATGGATATCAAAAAAATGTGTATTGATAATACGCCCACGTGTTCCGGAAGGGTAAGCGTCTTCTGCTTTATCGTGGACAACCGCGATGATCCATATTTGAATTAAAATGGTATTTTTTCTGTTGTTATTACTTTTGTTATATACGATGGTGAAATAATACATATATATGTAGCTAACATATATAACAAGTGAACAATTGTAAAAGGAATCCGAACAGTGAACAAAACCGTTATTCGACTCAAAATATTGAAATTTGGGCAATACATAAAGAAACGAAAGCTTTACATGGATATCAATAAAATGTGTATTGATAATACGCCCACGTGTTCCGGAAGGGTAAGCGTCTTCTGCTTTATCGAGGACAACCGCGATGAAAAATCTAGGTCGAATCGGAATAATTTCACGTACTCAAAATGAGAACTGGGAAAGTAACGACGAACCCACAAAGTATACGAATGACCTTTATATGCCACAAGGAAAGAAGGGTTTTGATACATATAAGATAAATATCAACAATAACTCTAAATTCGGGCTTAAATATTATTGTTGGCCATTTCTGTGCAACTTCCTGTTTTGATACAAGGCTTTGACATACAGTACAGGCTCATTCAATCCCAGATGATTTCGTTAAGTGTTGTTAAACGTCCAATCAACAGGTTTGGTTCCAATCCCTGATGAAAGTTTTGCCAGGAAGTTTGAATCGAGGTTGTTGCTATTTAAAGTCTTAATGTGGAAAGAAACCGGAGAAACCACATGCGGTCGGGCAGGTGACCCCTTACTTTTTCACGCTCAGTCGGGGAATCGAACACCGGCTGCATTGGTGAAGGGCGAGTGTGTAGTCCACCGCGCCACACGACAAACCTTTATAGCAACCCAGAGAGAAATGTTCTTAGAAATATGAAATATTAGATTACCGCCAACGACAGCAACTTAAGCAGTATCCCACACATTCGAAAATTATAAAATTGACTGTGCAATCAATATCTATTTGATTTTCAAGAATATTAAATACTGTATGAAGATATTGACGATTGACCGGCTTTAGTATACATTAGGAAGGTAGTTGACACAACACTCAATATTCATAAAATAAAACAATCTCATTGAACATAAATACCATTCCCTCTTCTTTACTAGATTATGGGATGCATAATATCATTATGTATCAGATTAAAGGAAATACTAGTTATTCGAATAGATGGTATATCTACTTCAATAAACACGGATGAAAAGCGAGATGTTGCTATAAGCTATACTCACGGTGACGCTCTTTACAGAACTATTGACAAGAAAACAATTAGCAGACACACTCATTGCAAGTAACACGTGTTCATAGTTCAACAACGGTTTCTTGTTATTTTGCAATATCATTAATTGTTATGAAGTGTGTCAGTATTTGCGAAGGGCGTCATAATTGGACGAGACCACTTTTGCTTGAGTCGCTAAGTAGACCTTAAACAATTAAATGTCAAGTTTTGTCTGTCAGTGAACTAACACCGGCGTATGTATACAAAACATCAATGCACTATATTTTTTTATGAACATTTATGCGGATTTATTCAAGTCTGTGCTTTGGCTTTTTATTTGTAATATTGTTCATGTTAGATTGTTCAAATTAAACTGTAAAGTGAGCGTGTTTTTAAGCAACAAACTGTCAAAGAATATGTTGAAACTTTTATTGTTCTTTTGTGCGTCAGCTCTCTCTCAATATATTTCAAAGGATGGTGTGCAAGATGCGTTAGCGGAGCAAAGGATGCTGGAAAATATTAGACCTATATTGGATATATATGTATCTGACAGTTTGGAACGTCACAAAAATAGCCTGCTGGGACTTTGCGCAGAAATGATCAGCGATTCTGAAAAACAGGTCGAAACAAAGGTGGAAAACTTAATAAGAGGTAACATGGATTTTTTATATCAATATTTTGGCCAAATTATAGCAAATTTTGTATTTGTGCCAATTCATAGTTATTATTCATAACTCTGCAGTTTTGCCGATGCAAATATCAGTGTCGTAGTCTATTTTATACGTTTATGTACCAAGAAACAGGATATGGCGTTATTCTTTATTTAATATCAACAGATGACAAAGGAACAGTGTTTACAAGGTGGGGAAGAAAAGACTGCCCGGCCAATCAAACAACTATGGTTTATACAGGTAAGCAATGTGTACCTTTCTAAATAATATTTGTTTTTCACGTGACAAGAGCTGGTAACGGTATATATTGGTATACATAATTAAATCGACTAACGTCCTTATTTTTATAGTATATACAGTAATAAACCGTTACACGAATGATCCATACTGCATTGCATTGAGATACATATCTATTCCATTGAATTATATAATGAACCAGCGGCTTTCAATACAAAATTGAACCTGTATGTGTGATGCAATATCATCTAAAATATTAACACCCTAAAGACTCTCATCAGGTGGTTATACCATTTTATTAAATGAATTAAAATGTACACAGTATAATTGCATCAAGGTTTCGCCTCTAGGTAGCGCCTATTTCATATTACCCTAACTACGGTAATTGCATATCAGGTTGTTACTTTCTACAACCATCTTAATTGTTCTTATGCTTCACTTATTTGAGTATTCGGCGCTGTTTCACCCAGACATTTTAACAGAATCGAAGTTTTTAAAAATGTTTTTACTGTTTAAAAAAAAAAGCTGCTGTTGAAAATAAGATTGAAAAATAAACATATACCCATATGAATGAACCGGTGAATTCGGATACCTGGTACCTGTCATTCTATGGCTGTTCATTCGGAACACTAACAACGTATCGTACTTGTTTTATGAATGCTGTATTTCTTATTTGGAATTTTTATCCGGACATGTAGCATATTTGAAATCTGGATTGCTGTATTAAGACAAAGAAGACACTTAAGTATTGTGAAACTGACTATTATCGTAAATCCATTTCCATATCCTACTCCGTATCAGCCCGAGACTTCAATATCAGCCCGAGACTGATAAATATTTCATATTTGAAATCTGGATTGCTGTATTAAGGCAAAGATAACACTAAAGTATTGTGAAACTGACTATTATCGTAAATCCATTTCCATATCCTACTCCGTATCAGCCCGAGACTTCAATATCAGCCCGAGGGGCCGGATACCCGATGGCTGATATGAGTCGTGTTGATACGGAGTGGGATATGGAAGTGGTCAAATGGTAACTTTTTTTATCGTATTCTGCTCTATAACATTAAAAGTATAAATAATACCACATAAAACACACACACAAACTATATTTGATCAGCTTTCCTATGGTAACATTCTGCCTTAGACATCATGAACAGAAGGACATTGATTATGTACACTACCCGTTTGAGATGTGATTGTTTTTCTTTTCTGGAAATTGTTCAACCGGAAGTTAAACGGATATGGCGCGTGCCGAGCAGATCTGGCGCGTGCGGGTGGATATGTTTTTGTCCCGGATATGGCCTATGCACAACTATTAGTATCACATATGTCAAGCAATCCATATAGCGGACAAGTAAATGATAATGTGTATGTATCGTACCGTGACCATGTAGAACGACGTCCGATCTTAATTGTGATGCGACTATTGAGCTACAATAAAATAGAAACAATACATTTTCATTAAAACACACACAAGTAATTATATTTTTTATCTTTTGACTTAGGATATGCTGGTGGGTCATACTATGAACACATAGGTGCAGCTGCAGACTACGTGTGTATGCCGCACGAACCCATATGGGGACCGCACAAGGATTTTGTTTACAGTGGTAACGACATTGGTTATATGTACGGGGCCGAGTATCAGTCGCCTGGAGACTTGTTCGGCATGTCGACTTGGACCGATGATGTCCCATGTGCCGTCTGCCTTGGAACGCAATACACAATCTCACTCATGATCCCGGGGCGGATCCAATGCTACCCTGGATGGACAAGGGCATATCACGGTAACCTCGCAACCGGTGCCCACACCCACAAGGCGGCCTCTCAGTACGTGTGTGTTGACCAGGATCCACAGATAACTACAGGCGGCGCCAACGAGAACGGTAAACTGTTTTATGGCGTCAAAACAAAGTGTGGGTCGCTACCATGCCCGCCCTACGAGGAGGGGAAATTTCTTCCTTGCGTTGTGTGTATGAAGTGACCAGTCAGTATGTGTGTCGATAAAGATATCAATAAACATTACAAGCTGAAAAATATCTTCATTGTTCCTTGCATTTAAATAGCTATTCATTGTGGCAGTATATTATATTTCACACACATGGTTCAGATGATAAATTGTTATCAGGAAATATGTCAATAAAAGAAAAAAACACGTAAGCATCGTATTTTGTTTTAAAAAAATAAATAAAAAAATCACGTTATAAGTCCTGCAAGGTATCGTTTTTTTTGTACGTATATCAAAAATGTAAAATTAAAACAGCCATCAATTGAACGTTCATATCTCTGCTTTCTATTTGTGACATAGAAAAGTTCTCAAAATACAGATTTTATTTTAGGAAAAGGTAGAATAACAATTCCTTCCTTGACAACACACGAAATAATTGTGCATCTGGGTTACCTAAAATTTAAAAAAATGACCTAAACGAAATTTGTGTTGAGATCCCTGCAGCATGCGACTGAACCATGTCACTTATACGAAATTTCGCAATCTAATATAGAGGTCAAATTACATATTGTGACGTTATACTGTACGTGTTTCACAATATGCGTACTTAACAACGACTTGCTACGGTAGAGGGACTTGATCTACTGCCGACGTTATATTTTTTTAGACTTCTATATTGTACCAAAGCGGTGGGTCGAATGTTTCCGTCTCTAAGTTATGTTATCAAGTCGGTACGGTAGCATTGAGTCACCAGTGTACCTCCTTAAGGTGATAGGATTGTGTCACCATTTCTCAGTAGAATTTCTTCAAATTTTATAGTTATATTGCTTTAAAGTAAAGAAAACTTTCTGCCACAAAAAAAATATAGGTTGTCAGAATTTTAAGGATTTTAAATGGAAATTTAAAGGGTGTTGCTGTTACAAGTGATATTATTTACAACTTATAATGGTCGCGTAGGTGAGCAATGCCTTTCCACGTCCGGTCGGAGATTTGCACCACGGCCGCCTTGGTAAATGGCAAGTGCGCTATCCACTGCGCCAACCGATCACCCTGTAACAATCAGGTTCCTGTAGTGGCACGGTGTATAGCGGACATAGATTTTCCGTAATCTTATGAATTGATAAGTAACCATAATACATTTTATTAACGCACCGGGGCTGGAATGGGTCGATAATCGGCGACCAGGTAGCCCAATTGGTTAGAGCACCCGTCTAGAGTTCGCAGGGTCCCGGGTTGGAATCCCGGGCTGGGTCATACATTATACAGCTCCTGCTACATTTGGTGCATGTGACCAACCCTCCTTTCAAATACTGGGTGAATGCTTGACAAGGGGATGACAGAACCTGGCTTGCAAACAGTATTGTCTTCGGGGTCTAAGACTTAGCAACAGGAAGGAGGAATGAAGCGGAACTGGACTGGGTCGATCATCGGCGACTAAGTAGTTCAATTGGTTAGAGCGTCCGTTTAGAGTTCGGAGGTCCCCGTTCGAACTCCTGCCTAGCCGTGCATTTTCCTCTCTCCTGTTACATCAATAAGGCTAAAATGATGTATGCTATGTATGGTTGATATAGGCTACCGTATTCGTTAACAGAAAATTCTCTAGTTAATTATAGAATCGTACGACCAGCAACATTTCGAAATTACCTGGAGATATAGGCTTATGACGAGTGTCGTCTGCTCTAATCTGACCGTATATATAAAAACCGACATAGCTTGTCCTTCACATCGGATCTATTTGTGCAGGTGTATAGAACCAGAATGGGGTAAGTTCTTCGAGCCGGTTTTAGTACTATTCAACTATTTATGAAACATAGTTGGTTGTGTTTATCTGTCCGATTTTGTGAAGTTTGTTTTGTCGTCAAATAACGTCCTAACAATGACCCGGTTTCAATCAAAGAGGTATGACGCGTAAGGTAAGTTGGCCGTATTGACACGGTCTAAATAGTACACCCCAGCAGACGAAAACAATATTTGTAACATATCTTTATTTTCGTTGAATGACGAATACAATAAATACACAATAATTTTACAAACTGGATGTTTGGTTTTGGTTAAATTTTGTTTAACGTCCAAATAACAGCTAAGGTCATTTAAGGACGTGCCCCTATGTACATTGTATGTTGTGGTGCGTGTATGCGTGTATAGGTGCTGGAGACAGGGTATGTTGGGGGTAATTGCCTCCTTGTACAAGATGTAATAGTATGAAACTGATGCCGACTTTATAGTACTATCTCACTGAAATACGACGCCGAAGGCACCCAGCATAACATTGCACCCGGTCACATTATACTGACAACGGTTGAACCAGTAGTTGCCAGTGTAAAAAAACACAGATAAATAGGACTAATAATATTCAACGAATAGTAACATTTAAGTTACCCAGCTTAGGAACACTTCATTATAAAGTAACACAACATTTTTTTTCTGAAATGCTCATTTACGCTCTCTGCACCCCTAAGTAACGAGGAAAAGTGGTGGCTGCACAGAATATTTNCCCCCGCCAACTGAGCGACGTTGATTAGATGATTCCGCCTACGTCTTATCCCTCTGTCCAACTCGTCCCGATATATGTTCTTTTAGCGAGAGGTCAGGGACGTTTGGAGGTCAAGCTCGGGTGTGTGTATAGGCACGACGTCGGTCGTCTGCTCGGTAAAAACCTGGACTCATCCGAGAAAAGGGTCTTTCTCCGACGTTGCATTGAGAAGCGCCTTATGAAATATGAACTCAGCCATTACATTTTCTTTGTGCGTCTTTGCGAATTAAGCTATGGGTCAACATATTGAGGTCATGGTCTTCGACCAGATTCGCGCAGTCGATTACGCATTACAATGTTACTTGCCGTTTCCGTAGCTGTAGGACAGCAATGGCGTAGTTGCAAAAGTCGCATTGCCCTTTTCTGCCGACGCGTCGTCACACATGGACGACCGTACCGGGGACGGTCTCCAAATCAAAATGAGCAGCGACCTTGTAACCAGATCTTGCGGGGTACATTGCAAAATAAGTGCAATTGCGTGATCCCTTTTAACTTCAGAACGGCATACCCTTTTCTAAAGCGAATTCTTTGTGCTTAAAATATAAGAATTCAAGACGGATATGTCTGAAGATTCGTTCAGAGATTTGTTACATGATGCATTTACGAAATTATATAAGGTATATGTACTAGGAATAATACTGGTATATTTTGTAGCTTTGTATGATTTAAATGTCAATATTCATGCATTGAACATGTACATGTATATAAATGGGAGACCCATTCAATTACTGCACTGACACCAGGTATTGAGAAATGCTACCAAAATATTTACTATATTTAGAGTTCAATCATAAGGCATTATCCGAGTGAAGAAGACCCAGATGTATCCTGAAAGTGAAGGCCAAACTGCTATTCTGTTTTTAAGGATCACTGTCTCGCTGCACTGTGGGTTTTCCCATATTCAGTGACCTCTCCTACACTTCTGTTTAGATAAAACTGTATCACAGTTTGGCAAGGTCGATTCCGTTGACCCGAGGAAGCTCAATCGGTTACAGCAATTGGTTCACAATCTGAAGTCCAGGGTTCGAATCCCAGTTTCACCCCGCCGTTCTTTTTTGACACACAGACCTGCTGTTGATTACATTTTGTTGGTTTCATATTTATCATTTTTCATAAAAGTCCCGCAAGGTATTTTTTAGAAAGGATTTATATTGTCATGCCGGAAATAAACAGTTTACAATACTTATTTACACTTTTTGGCAGTGGTACGGGGATCCTTTAGTGAAGCGAACTATTCTTCGCCTAACTTGTCTATTTCAGGAGTCACCGCCATGTTTCTACTATCGTGGCGCTGTTGATATTATGTGTGTCATTAGCACATGCAGTCAACAACTACTGCTGGCCTGGCATGTCATGTTTCCCGTCCAATGAGGAACAATCAAAATTTATGGTTTCAATAGAGCTCCATGAACTATTTCCATTTCAACCGGGATACGACAGCATTGTCGTAATGCAGAACACTAGGACAACCAAATTTCCGCACTCTATTGTAACTCCGTTTTCGACCGAGGAAGTACAGAAGGCGGTACTATTTGCGCGAAAGTTTAACCTTCATATGACAGTGATTTCCTCCGGACACGACTATTTCGGGAGATCCACCGGGGACGGAAGCTTCCAGATCAGTCTCCGAAACATATCTGATATCGACGTCAAATTGTCCTCCTCACGACACCCAGACGGAGAGGTGACCATTGGCAGCGGAGCACCTTGGCTAAGTGTTTACGAAAAAGTAAGTGAAACTTCGTTAACTGGAACTCCGATAACTCAAATATCGAACAAAATGATGGTGCTGCTAGAACTTTGATAACTCGAACTTCGATATCTCGAATAACCTTTTATCTCGTATAATGCTAGTCCTGTGTCTGCAACTGAATGTCGATAACTTAAGTATAGTTTATTTCAAAAATGGTGGTACCGTGGACTTCGATATCTCAAATATTCATATATCTCGACTAACTCTGGTTTCCTGCCCATAACTGAATTTCGATAACTTAAATACACATAACGGAGCATGAGTCATAAATTGTCTAACTTTGTTATTTGTGTTTCTATGTTACGTACATTGTACTTGCACTGCATCAAATTGATATAAACATTGTTCATGTAGCTTGCACATAAGTGTTTATTGATCCCAATGTGTAAGCAATAACTACTTGCTGTAATTAAACTGTGTGTAATAAAGGTTATTCTCAGCTGTTTATTTCAAAGCATTTAAAGTATAACAAAATATTCCCAAACTTAACCATAGAATGAAATCGGCTATACGTATTTTGCTTATTTGATATTGATCCGCGACAATGCTCATGAAACTGTGCTGAAACTGACGTTCTTGTTACTCATTTAAATATGTCAATCATGTGGCACGGTTCGGTTTCCTTTGTTTGTGTTTTACGTTCTACTAACAGCTATGGTCATAAAGGACGTGTCAGGTTTTAGTGGTGCAGGAAAACCCGAGTACCCGGAGAAATCCACCGACCTGTTGTGGGTACCTGGCGACTGCCGCACGTAGGCCTCCAGCCCGTAAACTCAGTGGTGGAGGGCTAGTGATCGTAGGCAGCCAGACGCCTTAAACATGTAATCACTCGACTACCACGGCCCCGACACAGTAAAAACAACATGAGTTAACACTGAAAAAATGAATTTAACCTACGAGACCTAAAAATTCATCCAATCATTGAATAAATGTTATTTTGTCTTTTACAAAGGGAGGTAATGCACTTTACTTTGTCAATAGCTCAACAAGTACAATCGTGTCGTGGTTGGTGGAAGTGCACACACAGTTGCTATGGGAGGATATACGCATGGCGGCGGTCATAGCCCGATGTCCCGTATGTTTGGCCTCGCTGTGGATAATCTTCTCGAGGTCGAACTCGTCTTGGCGGATGGTTCGAAGGCAATCGCCTCAGCAGACGGTACAGGTATGACGCTCGTATTTGATTCCTGGCACTAAATCATTATTAAATTTAATGAACGTTGGATGTAAGGTTTTCTAAAAAAAATCGTTTGAAGAAAAACAAATGTTCAAAATTAGCCTGGCATGTATTTACACAGTCTAGTTTATTTGTTTACACTGTGCTCTCTTAGAAAAAGGTCATTGATGCGATGTGTTTTTGCTTTATTTTATTTTATATAATGCCGTTATAATATTTTGAATTAACTGACTACATTTTTTAGAGTTTTTTTCACCACATGTATTGTCTGCTTTGATCTACTGGGTGACCTTCATTTTTTGGTGTGCAGAACCGGTAGTGGGTAATAAACTGCAGTTGCCAATCTTTATTTATGGTGGAGGGGATTTAAGACGTGAAAACTGTGTTTCCGTTCTCATGTACACAAACAAAACTGTATCGTTTATTTCATTTAGATGCACGAATGGATATAATCACCTGACAAATGCGATATTGACCTTGACTCCGTTTCACAATACACGTGTAAGTCTTGTTATTTGAAATATATATATAATTTTGCCCTTCAAAGGTGCAGGAAAAAAAATGTGTGTTTTAGTAAGAAAGCGGGTAACGGAATGATGCAGGCAGAAGTAATGAAAATAAAATCCTTTCAAAATTTGTTGGTAATTGATTGTAAGATCTTGTGCTACATACAGCATATTATATGTTTTAAATTCATAGAAATAACGCGAAATAAGCTTTTTGTTAAGTCTTAATCGTAAAACGCATGTGTCAATAGCCGTAGCCTTAAATTCGGCTGTTTACAATACTTTATTCTTAGCCAAATGATTCCGATAGAGGTACCTGTATAAAAATACCTGAGGACGCGTCATGAAATTACGCGGTGGCACGAGCGCACTAGCGGATCACAGCTTCGAGGAAATAGGCGTAGCAACCCGCCATAGCTCTTTGAATAGACGTATTACGAAAGGTATAAACCACGATCTTTTGAAAGATGGGCAAGTATGAAAACTGAGACAAGCGTTTGACCAACTGGAACCGTATTCCGCCATCTTGGAGATGGACATTGCAGTTGCCCATTGCCGGTTCTGCAAAGGGAAACTTATTTTGACTTGAGTAAATTACTAAATGAATATATTTTCTACAGAAATTACAAGCGTAGATGGCAAGGTAAACCACACGACCGACTCGAGTCTGTTCTGGGCCTTACGAGGGGGCGGTGGGGGTACGTTCGGTATCTCCACAAAGTTCACATTCAAAATACACAAGGCCGCACCGGGAGTCGTGAACCTCAATATAGTCTACCCGATGATACTTAAGAACGGGACTTTTATTGGTGACGAAGTCCTTAAAAAGATGTCTGAGATTATTCTGACAGCTCCGCGAAATTGGGGAGGGTACTTCAGCATAAACGGATATCCAGACGGAAACACAAGGGGATCCATCAGCCTGTTTGGTAACCATTACGGGACCTGGGAGACGGCGTCGCGCACATTTATGGATGAGTTATACAACTTTAATCCAGAATGGCAGAAATATAGGTAAGCACATTATTAACTAACATAAGGTCCAAAAATGTTTGACCATTTACCATGAAAAGATATCATTCACTTTTCTTTTCTGTTACAAGCTAATATTTCCATTCCGTAGTTCCATAGATGGCACGTTAAATACCATAAGGACCACGTAGGCCCCCTGAACATGTGTGACTGTACCCTGAACGGGACGCTTTAAAATTTTGGCTGATAATTGAGACTACACGATCAATATAAACAGAAAAGTACACACTGTTCAAATATTTAAGAGTCAACGAAAGTTCTGATTAAATCCTTCCTCTAAACTAGCATTAGTACTGAAAAAAGCAATTTCTGGAAATAATATCCATAAGATAGCATAACACGTATGTAAAGAATGTTATATTTCAATAGTTATTTTTAACCTGAACCTGCCATTTTGAACATTAAAAGTAGCAAATGATACCGATATATAGTTTGATTGACATGAAAGCATCATTAAGTGAAAACTGCATACATAGAAATGCTTCTTTGAATTGAATGCCATTTTCTTTGGCAGCTTTCCTACAAGTGTCCTTTTTGGGTACACTGGCGTTATACACTTGCAGCAATTTCGCATCTAGTCGTTTATTTTGTGTAAATGTTTCGGTGTATTTGCGTTTTTAAATCAATACAACTACTAAGTATATATACATAATAATAGAGAGCTATCCAATTTAGGAAAATCTTTATATTTAGCATTTAAGAGGCGTTAATTATAGGTTTATGTATTGTGGTGTTTCATAACTGTAATTGCTAATTAAGTATTGTTATATTCACATTATTGAACAGTGGTTTATGTATACTGTGACGTCACTCTCCTGTCTATTCTAATCATGTTTAGAGAATGTTATATGTATATGTGTATGTACCTATAAGCCTAAGGGGTTTGACTAATAAAGAATGAATGAAGAATATTTTTTTTCGTTAAATATTTGCCATTTTTCTTTTAATTTTATTATCAAAACAGAAAATTAACTTTTTGAAAATATGTTCTTTTCTATCTGATTTTGTGTCACAGGTATTATACGAATTACACAACTTTCCTTGACTACGAACGAACGGCCATTGACGCTAAATACTACACAACATACGTTTCAAACATCCTCATGAACAACAGGAGCTTCACTCCCGAGTGGAGAAAAACTTTGATCGAAAATGCATTTGCATTCCCATTGAACAAGTCCGCGATTGTCGCAACAGGAACATGGATTGGAGGTACCCTTTTGTTGTTTCACTATAGCATATTGTAGTTAGACGGTTGGGTTTAGGATTAGTTAGGCTATATTTAAGTGTCTATTCTCATCAACTGGACATTCCCATTGTTCGATACCTCTTAACTATTTTCGCTGATAGTGTTTATTGTTGCCCGAGTCAATATCTTTCAGAATATTTTTTGTCACATGAAAACGAAAATGTGGTCCATTTTATTTAATGCTCACATATTGGTCTTCATCTGTGTACCACATTCAGATATTACACGATTGATGGTAGAAAGGCCCTGCGTTACGTCATCAATATTTATAATTGATAAATGTTAACTTTAAAATGTAAACCTTTGTGATAGTGATTCCACCATTACAATATAAAATGTAAGCTTTGATTTTAGAATTAAGAATTTCTAGAAAATTTTCAACGCATGTATTTTTTGTGTCTTTTTAATGAGTGTTCTGTTATTAAACGTCTTAATTCGTCTTTAGCAGGGAGATTCATAACACAGTACGAACTACACACCCTTAAAGTTTCCTCATTTAAATTTACGTAATAATCCGAAATTAAGGCAAATTCTTGATTTTTTTTTTTTTTTAAACCCAATTTTTTCCAGGAAAGGTTCATGAAGTTGATATCGCAGACACAGCAGTACATCCGGGCTTCCGAGAATGCTATATGTCTTTGACTTCCGGCGTAGGCTGGTCAGCGGGGTTTGGTGACCATGAAAATGAATTTGTGGAAGAAGGTCAAAAGCTAAGAGAAAAGATGCGCCCTTTTGGTCATGGAAGCTATCGGAATGAAGGATCCGCCGATTCACCTTCATGGAAAGACGATTTTTGGGGCAGCAATTACGACCGTCTTCTTGAAATCAAGCGTAAATATGACCCTGAAAACTGGTTTTCGTGCCTAGACTGCGTTGGAAGTGATGTTCTGTAATGGTTCAGTAACATACATTAAGCTTGAAAGCAGCATCGTACACACATTCAATGGAACGTCTATGTAACAATGGAGGAAACAATATGATCGTTTTGGTGATTTTATTTTTATGTGAATCAATCACATTTTTATTAAAATCTGCAAAAAGATGATTTTATATGATTTAATGATGATTTTATAAACGATATATGATTTGCAAATTAGTCAGTGTTTACATTATAGTTAATACAAAAAATTGGATTTAAGTCCGCATGACAGGAAAATTATTAAAAAAATAAAAAAAGATGCCTTTTGCTGCTATACAGCTCTTAAGGAGAATGATTTTATTTTGCAGGTACAATCAATCAACATAAAAATATATAAAATGACGCGTGTATTGTTATGTATGTCCGCTATATCGTTATGTATGTCTGCTATATTGTTATGTATGTCCGCTATATTGTAACGTTGATTGGTCGTGCTTTCAAATTAAAATCATTCACCTGAAGCAGCGAAAGGCCTTGAAAATCGACCGCTTGTGATTCTTTATTTTTGAATATATATATATACAGAGACAACAGGCCATACTAAACACGTGTTGTCCCTATAGTAATATAGGGAAACACGATTCTTTGTTTCTCCGAGGCTAATCATGTTTCACCAGGGCGAAAGAAAAAAAAGAAAACACTAACACACAAGTAGAGATGATGAGATTGACAGGTCAATGTTGTCGTCTGCTTCCGTCATTTCGAACAAGGTTGTGGTAGCTCTTGCAGATTTGTCTAGAGAGAACTCCTATAAGGGTTGGTTTGGTTTGGTTTAATTTGGTTTAACGTCCTATCAACAGCTTAGGTCATTTAAGGACGTACCTCCATGTGTGTAGTGTATGCGTGCTTGCGTGTGTCTATGCAGGAGACAGGGTATGTTGGTGTTATTGCCTCCATGTGATAGCGCAGATCTGATGCCGACTTTATTGTTCTATCTCAATGAAATGCTATGCCGAAGGCACCCAGCACAGCATTCCGCCCAGTTACATTATACTGACAACGGGTGAACCAGTTGACGTTCCCCTAAATGCTGAACGTTAAGCAGAGAATAGCAACTACCATTTTTAAAGACTTTGGTATGTACCGGCCTGGGTGCAGAACCCATTTCCTTCCTCACCTGAGCGAACGCTCAACAATAAAGCAAAAAGAGAGGTGTTGCAAAGCAAGGCGCTATGAACTAAAAGGTAGTTAGAAATAGAAATAAAGACAACTACTTCGGATAAGGGAAATAAGATCAGGGAAACTTCAGCGCGTTCGGTCGACATGTTGTTTGTATTTGCCCTGTCATGGGACAAGTGTCATCCAATCATATACACTGTTATAAAGATGAGGTATAAGAATGAAGTTTGAATTAACGATGAAGATGGTTCCTTTATATTGTACATGAAGGTGTCATTCTATTGTATTGGAATGACATTTTCAGTTTATTCTAAGCTATTACAACACAACTGCTAATATCTATTACTCCACCACTGGGTCGCAGGTTCGAGGCCTACGGGTGGCAGGCTGGCCGTAGGTCGGTGGGTTTCTTTTCTACGGGCACTCCTGTTTTCTTCTACCATGAATACATGGCACGTCTTTAAATGACCGTAGCTTTTGATACAAGATACTGTTACCAAACCAAATGATCGCATAAGGTTATCCCGACAACATCACCTTGAATACCTTATATCAACTAAATTGATTGTTTAAAAGCATGTTTCTAAAATTACACATTTTCTAAAAAGGTAAAAGTAGTAATGATGACGTATACAATCATACTTCCTTAGTTCTTTACGGATCTCAAAATAAAAAGATAAGATATTTATAGATTACCACACTATGTATTTACCTTTTTAGGTGAGAACAAATTTCTCATCGCTTTAACGTGAGAAAAATCCCGAGTCCATCTGTATCCACGTGCGAAAGATGAGAAAAAAAGTTAATGAAGGTTTGAAATGCATCTTTTTAACATTTATGAGGGTATGCAACACAGTTCCGGTCAAACATATTCCATGATGCGCGCATTTTGGAGAATACGTTTGAACGGAACTGTGTTGCTTACTTGTTAAAAAGATGCATTTCAAACCCCTTAAATTTACGTTTTATTACATTCACTTTTATTATTTAAAACTGGAAAAAAAACACGTAATAAAACAATGCACTGTCCTGAACACAACATTGATTGAACAGCACTGGCTGACGAGCCGGGATGATTGAACAGCACTGGCTGACAAGCCGGGATGATTGAACAGCACTGACTGACGAGCCGGGATGATTGACCTGCCTCGCCACTTGCAACAGACGCTAATGTAGAGGACAGCGATATTTGTTCTGTTCTGTTGTAAAAGAACATGTTATACTCACATCTGTGGCCCGACATAAAACCAGTCATTCATCGCCTGTAGTACAGTGTGCTTTGTATTTTCATTTCAGCACCCTTATTTAATTAAAAATATGTGTGATTTCTTGTTGATAAGTTCATAGTTGTTGACACATATTTGAAAAAAACATATCGGTGTTGTTTTTTTGTGAGGGGGCGGGGTGTGACTGTTGTTTACATAGTGAGGTTAAAGGTCATATAATGGTGATGAAGTACTGTTAACATTACTACACACTTGCTTTTATTGAATCATAACAGTAGTTTTAATTGTTATCTAGAGGGACTGCAACACAAATGTTAACATTTATCTGTATACATTTACTTATTACGTCTTTATTATTAACAAGTTATCCCAATAACGCATCAATCGAGATCCTCATATGTAAGTTTGATAATGATTTGTTTATGACGGACTATTTTCTTCCGCGGAACACGTTTTTGTGGATACTATTTCCGGTTCAGGGTGTCCCTAGGCGAGAGCAGTCGGTTTTGGGTTAAGAAAATATTATTCCCAAATGGGAAAATTAATTCTCAAGTCATTCACAAGTCGTTCAAAACTTCTTCTTGAGTATTCTTGTACTGACAAAACATGACAATGAGTTTATCATGTTACCGGTAGGTGGTTCAGTTTACATAATGTAGTATTATAGATTATAAACGCTTTTTGGGGTTAAAATCCCCGCACCATCGTCAAAATGTACTAATGTACAAAATGTATTTGAATCTGTATTCGGCATGGCAATATATTTGACAGATATGTTTTGAAAAGAAAAGCATACAAAATGATAATGGACCTCAGACCTACGCCAAGCAAACACTGGAGAATTCTTCTGTACTTTGTCATTCACAAAATGACCTCCTATATAATTCCTTTTGAGTATAACTGTAGCTCGAATTGGCTAAGATACTTCCGTCTATCTGGTAGCTCAGTTTAGTTTTCTGAAGTCCAGGCTTTGAATAGTGTTATTTCATCTTTTTTTTTTAATTTTTCGTCCCGCAAGATGTGCCTAAAAACCAAACCATTCGATACAGCGTTTCCACAAGAGACTCTTTTCTAATGCATGAATGTGTGGTAGATTGAATATTTTTCAAACTGGAACAAAAACAAGGACGCTATTAGAAAAAACCTATTTAGATTACTTTTCTTAGTGTAAAACGCAAAAAAAAGTTGATTTTTATTGCACCGTATGGCTATTCCGTCCATTTTAGACGCATTATTGAAAGAAAGGGCCCAGAGAAGAATGGAAAAACATGTCGAACATATTCCACAACAAATGAAAAAATGTAGCAATTAATGGCTGCGAACGGGAGATTCCACCTCCCAACAGCTGAAGAACATGAAGGCCTATAATTATTGTTCAATTTGATGTAAAATCAAAGCACTGACAGTGATAGGTATTTGTAGTATATATATGCTAACATGACCTAATGAAATAAAGGCGAACAGGTCAGTCACAACAGTGACAACACAGGGGGTCGTTGCATTGTTTAATGTTGATGTATTTATGTTATACAATTGTATGTATATAACACAGACTCCACGGATTTCGGAATAACAAAACACTTATTGCCCTGTTGTGATGGAGACCTGAAGAGTTGTTCCCCCTCGACAAATCATGTTTCCCTTGGGCTTCGCTCTCGGGAAAAATGATTTATCTCGGGGAAACAACTCTTCAGGTCTCCCTCACACCAGGGCAATAAGTGTACATTATTATACCTCGTCGATAATACAGTGTGTCTAATTGGCTTAAACACATCACATGGCATGATTATAAAACATCGAGTCTCCCTCACGCGATCCATTTTTCCTGTCGACTATCCCTCTCGGAACTCCTCACACATTATCGGACGAGTTGTCTCTCTTTGTTAGACTCTCTAACGCCCGATGTGTACCTGTCGACACCTCAAGATTTCACCTCTCAACAGCTGAAGAACTTGAAGGGCTATTATTGTTATTTAATTTGATGTAAAATCAAAACACTGAAAGTGATAGGTATTTGTAGTATACATATGTTACCAGACCTAATGAAATAAGGGCGAACAGGTACCACAACAGTGACAACACAGGGGCTCGTTACATTGCCTAATGCTGATGTGTTTTTTGTATATGTATATAACACAGACTCCACAGATGGAATTTTCGCCCTCGGGAAAAATGATTTATCTCGGGGAAACAACTCTTCAGGTCTCCCTCACACCAGGGCAATACGTGTATAAAGGTTTCTATAGAACCCTATATTACGGCACAACGTTACCATAGCTACTAAAGCCACTATAACTACTTTAAAGGAACACCGTTTTGTTTAAACTTTTATATTAACTTCTTTTGAAAACCTTGTGAAAGTGTCATTAATTAGGAATAAATTCTAGTAGGACTCGTACAGTATATACATAATACCCGAAAGGACTCGAACAGTATATACATAATACCCGAAAGGACTCGATAACGTTGAGGTTGAACGTGTTGCCTCTATTAGAAGCACTCATGACACATATCAGTACATTAACATATTCGTAGAACATAAAACCAGAACGGTGTATACGACGGAAAGCAAGTTACATGTAACATCCTCTGTTTATATCATAAATACTTAATATTTTACACTACGATCGGTTTATAGCGCTGACAAACAGGGCCCGTATCCATGAAACCGTTCTCATGCTCAGACAAGCTTTCTTGTAACTCGCTTAAATCGTCGGGATTTAGTGTCTTCAGGTTTTGTTCTAAATCATTAACAAAATAAGAATGTTTGTGATAATTTATAATTGGAACAGGGAATTAGGCTTGGGCACAGAATCAATGGTTGAGCATGCGAACGGTTTCATAAATACGGGCTTCATTCAAAGGGCCGGTTTCCAAAACGGCCCCTTCTCTCATTCAAATTTCCTGTTGGTGGTGTATTGCCCATGCCGTTGTGGTAACAAATCTATAAAGTATAAAGATTTAGGTCACTTGGTTTGTTTTTTATGGCTCCTCAAAGTTGTACCTTTCAGAAGCTGTCTAAGTGTTGTTAAAATGTGCATGTTATGTAAAATATTAATGAAAATCTAATCAAATGATGGTCACCGTAAAGAATACATTCATGGCATGATTGTGACAAAAAACATGTTTCCATCGCGCCATTTGGCTGTTTTATGGAAGAAACAATCTCAAAAATGCCATTTTCGATGATAACATTTTAGACACAAAAACTGTGTTTTTT